GCACAGCCAGAGAGTTTGCTGCACTAACATCTCTTAGTACAGCGACAGCTCAGTTTTTTTCCATTCAGCCCGCTGGGTTGAACGAAAAATAACTTATTGTGTGTACCTAGCATTACACTGTAGCTAGTATGTGTACACAAATCTGTCTTTATGTTAGCTTCCTATAATATTCTGCACAGAAGGAAACTAGATAAGTAGGATTGTGGATTCAACAGTGTGAGCCAGTCAGGTCTCTGTTTTATTCCACAGTAGTGTCAGTCTCCCAGTTTAAGTGCTGCTGTGCAGGGGAATAAATTAGACCAATATCAAGATGTCAGATACGTGCACTAACTGCATAAAAAAAAAAATAAGGAATACATAACTGCATTAATTAAATGTATTTTTTTTTATCTGCCGGTTTTCAGCTGTAATTAATTCAGTTCATTTCTGGACAGCCCCAGTGGGACATACTTTTTTTGACATTCTCAAATACTTGATAAGTAAATGAGATCACTGAATTAAAATGACTAAACAAATAAACACTGCAACTATATTTGTGTTAGAAATATTTGTCCTATTTTTCTTTGGCTAGGCACTTCGTCATTGGAGATTTCCTTGCCTTAATTCATTCAAGCATCGATGAACAAATATTCCCGTGCACTGGACTGGTGGTGTACCTGCTGTCAGGGACCTGGTGTCAGGCTTGCTTGCTGGTGATTAAATCCTACTCCGTGACCCTCAAGGGATGACCAAACATGAGACTGGAATTCTTTGTACTCATGATTTACAAAACCACTGGGAGACAGTCCTACAGCTGTGTATCCCAAATAAACAAGCCTGTCCCTGAAGCTACACTCACAGCCTCCTGCCGTGTAATTATTATTCAGGGGAATATTTTATGAAATTTGAGAAGAACTGAAAGTTACTTCAGCATTTTAAATTAAAGTAAAGCACAATCACTGTGTGAGATTTTATATATATTTTTTTTTTCTTTCTTTCTTTCTTTTCTCTTTATATATTTCTTTATTTCTATATATATATATATATATATATATATACACAGTATATATATGTAACAGATTCAACTGGTATTGGTATTTCAGTTGAGACTCAGCAAGGCAGTAAACAAACATACCTGTAGCATCAATGCAGGAGGGCTCTGTATAGCAAGCCTACAGCATTTCATTGGGAAGAAACGGCTCAAGAATACAAATAGCCCAGTGGGAAGGCACCCAACTAGGAAACGCACAGTTCCGTGCAGGAAGGCAAAGTGGAGCAGGTTCTGATGCACTGACAGCGTCTGTCTTTGAGGGCAGAATGCAGCCTGGCCAGTCCAAGCACACTGGGGAGGATTCCTAGGAAGGATCGCATCTCCTTACCACTATTCACACTCCCTGACAGGTGGGTAACTTATCCCTGCACTGTCCACTTGCAAAAAGCATGCCAAATCTGGGAGCCAGAGTCTTAAATAGACTCTGCCTGGCACAAGATGGCCAACAGGGTCACATGGAAAAGCAATCGGATCACTTTTATATGGCAGAAATTTCTGAAATCCTGGATATGCCATGTGTGACGGAACTGGACCCCGACTGCACTAGTATATTTCCGTTAGACTTCCGCTTCCCTGTCCGAACACAGGTCCATGGACACCTCCGCTGACCGTAGAGAGAGGAGACAGCACTAGACTTGAAGGATTCCAGGAGATAGACTGCTTTATTTTAACACAGACCCAAGATATATACATTCAAGGAAAGAACCGCCCCTCCTTGCATAATGACACAGGGCGGGACAAACCAAATCTAGCAACCAGAGACACATCAACAGACAGTCCCATTAGGAGGGCTGCTGGAACCCCCCCCCCCACCAAGCCAATACACAAACACATACCCATATCCCATAATAGTTTGCTCCCAAGCAAGACACGCAATAGAACAATGGGACCACATGGCAGTAAACAATGAACAACCCTCACACCCCACCTATACATGTCTACACAATATCAGAACATTCCACCCTGTACCCAGGCCAGCTCTTCTACTGGAGGCTCACCAGGTTGTTTTTCCTCAGAAGAGAAGTCTATCAAATCCCCAGTCTCTGGAATTTCCACTGCCGATTATGGGCATGCTGTCGAGCATGTTTTAGCAGTTGCCTGTATGCCCTTTCCAGATGCTGTTCTTTCATCAGCAGGTATTCCAGATCTGGTTCAAGCTCTGAGACCCCTGTGAGACCAAACATAGCCTCTCTGTCTTCTCGCAACTCCTCCAGGGTAGGTTCTCCTTCATCACCAAACACAAAAAGATCAGTAAGGCTCTCCCACAGCAATCCAGGACCACCACCAAAGTCATATCCCTCAGGAGAGCATTCTGTTGTCACCCTGAAATATTTCTGCTCTGCGTACCATTGCAGAGCCCGATATCGGTTGTCCAGCTCTATCTCCTGCTGGACCAACCTGTCCAACTCAATCACCCATTGCTCCTGAGGTCGTTCTCCCAGGAATGGAATCCGTAACTTCCGATGGTCCCTGGCCCGTTCCCCTGGGGTTGGATAGCACTTGCCCTTGTCCATACCAGCAACCTGGAGGGCTCCTCTCCAAAGCACCTCCCAAATCCCCTGCCTGAGCTCCAGGTTCTGATCCGCAGACACAGTCCTGGGGTATGTTGCAAGAATGGTCCGCAGCAGCCCTGGGAACTCTGATGCCAGGTCCATATCTCCACTGGGGTGACCAACATCTCCTTTCCTCATCTTGAACCCCGGAGGTGGTTTGGACATGTTCACAGCTTGGAAGCACAATCCCACCGCTTGCCACCAATGTAATGGAACTGGACCCCGACTGCACTAGGTTATTTCCGTTATACTCCCGCTTCCCTGTCCAAACACAGATCCATGGACACCACTGCTGACCGTACAAGAGGAGGCAGCACCAGACTTGAAGGATTCCAGGAGATAGACTGCTTTATTTTAACACAGACACAAGATATATACATTCAAGGAAAGAACCCCCCCCTTCCTGTATAATGACACAGGATGGGGAAAACCAAATCTAGCAACCAGAGACACATCAACAGACAGTCCCAACAGGAGGGCTGCTGGAACCACCCCCCCCCCCACCAAGCCAATACACAAACACATACATCCCATAATAGTTTGCTCCCAAGCAAGACACACAATAGAACAATGGGACCACATGGCAGTAAACAATGAACAACCTCCACACCCCACCTATACATGTCTACACAATATCAGGACATTCCACCCTATACCCCTAACAGGCACAGGGTGACTTACACATATTAGGGATATGGGGAGCTGAGACAGGGGTCTCCCCACCTCTCCAAAGGGGGCTGTGTTCCATGGGCCCCCACCCAAAGTCACTCCCGTCACACCGTGTATGCTGAGAAACATGGGAGCAAAAGACCACAGTTCACAACAGTGTAATCAAACAAGTTGAAGGTAGAATAGGATAGCAACAGTCTTGTCCATCGTTTGGAAACTTAAGCAGCAAGCCCAACAGGCAAGAAAGTTCATTTCTTGCAAAGTGGAAGGGCCCCTATGAAGTTAAAAAGTAAATCAGTGAAGTCAACTATAAGGCATATCCACATATACCATGTTAACATAATAAAATCTTGGAAGGCTTTGGGTGTCACTTTCAGTAGAAAATGACCCTAAACTGTCACTAGCAAAAAGGTATACCAGGTTTGGGTGTCAGAGACTCCATCTGCTCATTACATTCAGGAGGTGAGTTCTTGCAGAAAAGGTAGAGGTGTTTTCCAAACTACCTGACCAAACCAATAAAATTTACCTTACTAGCAAGACTTAGTCTCACCTCAAAGTATAGTAAAAACTACTGGGTACCTGATGCTCAGAGAAAAGCTGTTTCAGAAATTGTTGCCAGTGACCCAGCAAGGGGTTGCAGTTGGATTTTCATGCTGTATACTGACACAATCTTCTACTTCTCCCAGGTCTGTAAAGAGGGGGTGAGTATGTGAAGTGCAAGGTGGCAAGATTATGGACGGAGTATATATGTCATCTTGGTTTCTCACCTACGAATGGTGAGTGGCTCCAGGACTTCTGTTATGGAGAAAACAAAGTTTTTGTTTATAAGTTCTGCCTGGGTTCTGGAGCCCAGAGGCTTTGTAGAACCTTATGTGGGATAAAGTCTCCACCCCTAGGTCCGCATCTTACCTTTTAGCCATACCTCATTAATTAGTCTTTGCTGTTCACAGAACTTTTTATATGTGAGCTGACTAATGTTTAGGATTCTCTCTCTACAGGTACATATAAGTGATACCTGCTTATTTCAGGGAACCCATTAGGTCACCCTGTTAGTCAGCAAATGACAAAATGTTTGGTTAGTGTCTTGGATGAGCAGATATTCTGTTATTTTAATGCTGTGGACTTACGGCACAAAGCCTCCTGCATTGAACTTTGTATGTTAATTGCATTGCGGAATAACAGTGCAGGAGAAATCTGCTTGGACTATTCCTGAGTATCTCAGGGGATGCAACACTATGTGCTTTTTGCTGTGATCTGTATTTATTTATTTATGTCAATGTAAATGTGGGTCAGTTTACCTGGGGACTGTCAGAAGTAAGAAAACTCAGAAAAGTCATCACTTGCATGTGTGGTTCAACCTTTCTGATTATTTATATAGTGCATTCATAAAGTATTCAGACCTTGACTTTTTCATTGTTTTTATGCTGATTGGTGTCCACCTGTAATAAATTAAATTGATTGGACATGATTTGGAAAGGTACAGCTGACAATGCATTAGAGCAAGGAACAGATATGAGGAAAGCTAAAAAATCCAATTAGGCATTCTGCTGCACTGAAGGTTCCCAAGAACACAGTGACCTCCATAATTCTCAAATGAAAGAAGTTTGGTACAACTAGGACTCTTCCAAGAGCTGTTTGCCGTGCCAAACTAAGCAATCAGGAAAGAATGACCTTAGTAAGAGAGGTGACCAAAAACCTGATGGTCACGCTGACTGAGCTCCAGAGATCCTATGTGGAGATGTGAGTCCCAGGGGCGGACTGACAACTCATGGGGCTCCCGGGCAATAGGGGATCATGGGGCCCCTGTGTCCTTGCCCAAACTCAAAAAAGCCTATGTTAAAGGTACCAGGTGCATCTCATGGGGCCCCCTACTGACCCCGGGCCCTCAGGCAGTGCCCAAGTTTCCAAATGGTCAGTCCGCCCCTGGATGGGACAAAGTTCCAGAAGGATAACCATCACTGCAGCCCTTAACCAATCTGCACTTTATGGCAGTGTGGCTAGACGGAAGCCTCTTCTCAGAGCAAAACACATGAAAACCTGCTTGGAATCTGCAAAAGCCTTTTTTGTGTGCATTCTAATATTTATTATCACTGGACCACCATTTAATGGTGATGTGGCTGGTGACTAATTGGATATTTTAATGCGCAATGGTTAGCATTGCTGCCTAGTGTGTAATTGCAGTATAATTCATAGTCACTGCTCCTCATTTCTGCGCATCAGTTTGGCTGCTCCATTCTTATCTTTCCTTTTTCTGTTTGCAGTCACCCAGGTCATTAGATTCACTGCAGGGCAGTAGGAGGGTTAATACAGTTTATCCTTAAAGGGGCAGCAATGGTAATCTCAGCAGTAGTTGGAGGGGTAAAGCAGTGTCACTAATTTCTTCATGTATCTTTTTTTATTCCATTGTTATCTTCTCTAATAGATGGATATGCATTGAGAAATGTTTATCTATTCTAAAAATTTTATCAGTTAGCACCTCATACACTGAATGGGATATTTGAAGGCTTTTGTATGAAATATTAGGAAGTCCCAGTTTGTAACTCTCTCCTTTGATCGTTGCTGTACAGCATAAGTGTGAGGAAAACAAGAATACCGTCTGAGCTGAACAACGTCATGTCTCAAAATAATCATCATTGTGACAAATAGAACATGCTAAGTGAACTGAGTGATTTATACAGGTTTGAAACACACCTTTATTTTATCTTTGTAGTTTTTACGTCTCCCAAGCTTACTTTTGCATCCCCCTTCCTTCAACTACAGTTTTCATTTCTGCATCCTCCTTCCTCCATCCACAGTTGTCATTACTGTGTTCTCCTTCCTCCATCCACAGTTTTCACCTCTGTATCCCCCCCTTCTTCCACAGTTGTAACTTCTGACCCCCCCCCCCATCAACAGTCATCACCTCTGTATCCCCCCCTTCTTCCACAGTTGTAACTTCTGACCCCCCCCCCATCAACAGTCATCACCTCTACGTCCCCTCCATCCACAATTGTGGCTTCTACACCCCCATCTATAGTTGTCACCTCTGCATCCACCTTCTTGCATCCCTGCATCCAGTTGCCATCTCTACATTATTTTTTTGCCATCCAAAGTTGTCACCTCTGCATTCCCCTTCCTTCATACACCTCATCCATCCACAGTTATCACCTCTGTATCCCCACTCCTTCCACAGTTGTCACCTCTGTATCCCCCCTCCATTCACAGTTGTCATCTCTGCATTCTCCTTCCTCCATCCACAGTTGTCAATTTTGTAATCTCCCCATCCATCCACAGATTTTACCTCTTTTTCATCCACTCCTTCCACAGTTGTCACTTCTGCATTCTCCTTCTTCCAGCCACAGTTAAGGAACCAGTGAGAGCTGCACTTTACTATAACAACAGGGCTGCTTTAATAGTTTCCTGCAGTGATTTGAAATACTGTATATACACTACATTGCCAAAAGTATTGGGCCACCTGCCTTTACACGCACATGAACTTTAATGGCATCCCAGTCTTAGTCCGTAGGGTTCAATATTGAGTTGGCCCACCCTTTGCAGCTATAACAGCTTGAACTCTTCTGGGAAGGCTGTCCACCAGATTTAGGAGTGTGTCTATGGGAATGTTTCAGAAGATTTGTGAGGTCAGGCACTGATGTTGGACGAGAAGGCTTGGTTCACAGTCTTCGCTCTAATTCATCCCAAAGGTGTTCTGTTGGGTTGAGGTCAGGACTCTGTGCAGGCCAGTCAAGTTCCTTCACCCCAAACTCGCTCATCCATGTCTTTATGGACCTTGCTTTGTACACTGGTGCGCAGTCATGTTGGAACAGGAAGAGTTCATCTCCAAACTGTTCCCACAAAGTTGGGAGCATGAAATGGTCCAAAATGTCTTGGTATGCTGACGCCTTAAGAGTTCCCTTCACTGGAACTAAGGGGCCAAGCCCAACCCCTGAAAAACAAACCCACACACCATAATCCCCCCTCTACCAAATTTTACACTTGACACAATGCAGTCAGGCAAGTACCATTCTCCTGGCAAACACCAATCCCAGACACATCCATCGGATTGCCAGACAGAGAAGCATGATTTGTCACTCCAGAGAACACGTCTCTACTGCTCTAGAGTCCAGTGGCTGCGTGCTTTGCACCACTGCATCCGACGCATTGTACTTGGTGATGTAAGGCTTGGATGCAGCTGCTGCTTTTGGCAATATAGTGTATATTACATAGTAATAATAATAAGAATAATAATATGAATTATAATAATATTATTATTATTTATTCTTAATATTAAGTTGTTTTCCACTATTTACCTTAGGCCTTATTTCAGTTGTTATTATTATTATTATTATTAATAATAATAATAATAATATAATATTATTATTATTATTATTATTATTATTCATAAAAATAATAATAGTAATAATAACTGATACAATGCCTAAGGTAAATAGTGGAAAACAACTTAGCTTTTACAAAATCCTTAAATAAAATAGGAGAAAATATATCTAATGTTCTGCATCCCTTACTATACAATTTTTCTCTAGATTTACCAAAATCATATAATATGAGGTCAAACATAAACACTCTCTATTAGTATGCAGTCAGGCAGGCCCTTGCACTACGTAGTTGAAGGTAAATCTAAAGGAAATTTAATAAGCAAATTGTATAATGTATGGCCAGCTTTAGATACTGCTCTATCTGTAGATTGATTAATCTATGAGCTAGCCTTGTAAAAAGAGAGTGAATAACACTAATGTTCCTTGGCCCCCAGACATTAGCTTTCAATGCTGTGAGATTCCCAGAACAGATGAAATCTAAGATGAACTGTAGCTGATTGCTGTGGGTTAATGCAATAACTTTAAACAATTTGTAGACCAAACTTACATACATTGCTATACGTTCCTTGCAAAATAGATCACATTCAGTGAAAGTCCTTCTGAACAAGAGGATTGTAGACTGATATATTGACCTTCAATTTAACTAGAAGCCAAACACTAGCTTAAGAAACTGAAACAATATACTCAAATGCTCAACTCTTTAAGACGGTCTGTGTAATAAGTTGACCAGGTAGTAAGAGTGAGTGGATCCATTAAGACGGCTCAGGAAAAGTCTCCCTATCTCAACATTACATCAACTAGTGAAGCAGGTTTTGTTGTTTGAAGTCTGTAGGAGATTAATGGGGTAGGTCATAGGCCTTCTAGTCCAAGTGTTCCACCATTAGTAATTTATAGCTGTTGCTGGAACACAGACATTATTCACATATCTGCATAGATTACTATCATAAGGCTTCTCACCTACTCATACATTAGTCTCTCATTTGCAGCTGATGTCTGTCTAAGTTATGAACTATTCTTTTCTTTCTTGTGCATTGAGCTGAGCACATAAAATGCCAGGGTACAAATATCCAGCTAGTTCACTTCAGGTGAAGGTATTCACTTGGCAGAGAAAAGGATACATTTCCTTTACTAAAAGTAAATAAAAGGAGAGTGAGAAATAAAATGGTGCAATGCAGAGTTGTCAGGTGAAGCATACGGAGTATGCAAAGTTATGACCCGCAGACCTTGCTGGGTGTCGTAGTTTGCTTGAAGTTTACTACAGTAAAGGAGTATTGATCTAATGTCCATACTGCCCTAAGTGCAAGAGCATCATGACATTTTTTTACTCATCTACCCATTTTACTTTACTTCTACATATCCCTGTTTTGAAGAGTTAGAGTTTGGGCTCAGTTATTTTAAAATATGGGCTTGGAAAAATTAATTTATAACAATATTACCACAAAATTAAATACAGCAAAAAAGTACAGTATTTTCTGGCGTATAAGACTACTTTTTATACTTAAAAATATACCCCAAAAATTGGGGGTCGTCTTATACGCGGGGTATAAAATGTGAACCTTGAGTTTGTTTGGGTCAAGCTGACTGGATGTGTGGTAATACTGTACATACAGTATACTGTGCTGAGCCAAGCTGGCTCAAAACAAATGTCCCTATGACAGATTAATCTGTCAGCCCGCTGGATGTGCGGTATATACAGTATACTGTGCTGAGCCAAGCGGTTTCAAAACGTACCGGTACGTCCCTACTGTAATCAGCCCGCTGGATGCGTGTATGTACGGTAGCTGCGGCTACATACAGTATACACTGGGCCAATCACAGCGAGTGATGTATTCTACTAATGAATACAAAGCCTGCTCGGATTGGCTGTGTAAGAGAGGTGGGCTGATGATGTCACAACCTCAGCCAATCCGAGCAGGCTTTGTATTCATTAGTAGAATACATCGCTCACCGTGATTGGCCCAGTGTATACTGTATGTAGCCTCAGCTACTGTACATACACACATCCAGCGGTCTGATTACCGTAGGGACGTACCAGTACGTTTTGAAACAACTTGGCTCAGTATACTGTATATACCGCACATCCAGCGGGCTGACAGATTAATCTGTCATAGGGACATTTGTTTTGAGCCAGCTTAGCTCAGCGCGGTATACTGTCTCCTGTGGGCTGTATATATACTGTATACTGTATGTAGCCGAAGCTACCATATTACCGCACATCCAGCGGTAACCATCTGATTTGGAATTTGATCCATATGATGACTGTCTTACAAATGTATCACAAGATGTCATTCATGAACTTATGATGTCAGAGGATGAACATGAGGATTTTCAAGGATTTTAAGTACCAGTAAGTCATAACCATTTCAATTAAAAAAATCTGATATTTTTAAATGGTGTTGCCTCGGAAGGGGGGTAGTCTTATACGGCGAGTATAGCCCAAAACCTATGTTTTAACTGGAAAATTAGGGGGTCATCTTATACACCCAGTCGCCTTATACGCTGGAAAATACGGTAATATAAATAATGCTAAAATGCTCATATATCATCAGAATATAATGTTATTATTTCATTTATATCATACCTTTATATTTTGTAGAGTTTGCATACTATAGTTCACTTCATGTTTGATAGAAGTGTACTACAGTAATGGAGGGTTGTATCCCATGTCCATACTTGTCCTAGGCACAAAAGAATGATGACATCATTTTACACGTCTACCCATTTTACTTTACTTCTACCTGTTCCTGTTTTGAAGAAGAATGGACAATTTTTCACAGCTTTAAAAAGTTTGGGCTCATTTTATTTCAGATATGCACTTGGGAAAAAGGAAAAGGAGGAAAAGGAAAAAGGAATTTTCAACCATATTTAAATAAGAATAAATACATCAAAATTAAGTGATTGGAAGTTGTTTTTTTTTTTTTCTAAAATAACAAACATGTTATTATTACCTGATCTGTGCAATCATTTTGCACAGATCAACCCCAATCCTCCTCCTCTGGGGTCTCCTGCACTCTTGGCTCCTCCTCTTCTCTGATTGCCTCCATAGCAAGCCGCTTGCTATGTGGGGAACTCGTGTGGGCTCGATCCCAAGCCGCACTGTGTGCATCTATTAACACACACGGGTGTCTCAGCCCCACCCCTCGCTCTCTGCTCACAGAATTTGACTGACAGCATCAAGATTTTACCTTTACAACCCCTTTAACATAAATGATGCTCAAATGTCTATATATCAGAAAGTAATTGTATTATTTCATGTATTTACCCTTCCTCCTAGATTGTAAGCTCTAATGAGCAGGGTCCCTCTGTTTCCTCTTGTACCAAATTGTATTGTAACTGTAATGTCTACCTTAATTTTGTAAAGTGCTGTGCAAACTATTGGCGCTATATAAATAATATACCTTTATATTCTGTAGAGCAGGGATATCCAATCTATTGACTTTTCTGGGCCACATTGGAAGAAGAGGAATTGTCATGTGCCACACATAAAATACCTAACAATAGGGATAGCTAATGAGCAGAAAAAGTTGGGCAGATCATAAGTTAATGATCACTGATATAGATAATGTACCAGGGGCGGACTGACAACTCATGGGGCCCCTGGGCAATAGGGGATCATGGGGCCCCTGTGTCCTTGCCCAAAACTCAAAAAATGTACCTATCTGAGTAATAAAACTTTATTTTTTTGTAAGAAATTTTAATTATGAACGTAAAATAGGGCAACATAAAACCAGTGCAATATCTGATGCATCAGTATTTGGTTGGATAGATGTAGTAGCAATTCTCAATGAATTCTCAAGCTGCTCATCAGATATTTTGTTTCTAATTTTGCCATTCATATGCTTTATCCTTGGAAATAGTTGCTCACAAATATTGGTGCTGCCAAAAACTGATGACATGAATATAAGACGTGATTGTGAAGAGTGGGATATTTTTCTTTGGGAAGATAAAACTTATAAAACTCCAGTAAAGAGACACTGTCAAATTTTTCTTCAGCCACATGTGTTTGCTAAGTGTAAACACATTTTTTTTCTAATTTAGAATTTAGTTCTAAAAGAAAAAAATCAACATTTTTAAGTAGGTTTATGATTTTGTGTTGGACCACATTCATAGCTGTCTTGGACCACATGTGGCCCATGGCCCACGGGTTTGACACCCCTGCTGTAGAGTTTGCGCAGGACATTAGAGAATGTATCTGCTGGTTTTTGGGTGAGATGGAAATGATAAATGCTTTGAGGCTGTGATCTCCTTATTTTATATTATTATTATACAGTATTTATATAGCGCTAAAAGGTTTGCTCAGCGCTGTACATTATAGTGGATGTTCTGATTTTTGGTTTGGCTTGATTTGGTCTGCCAATTATTTTTGTACAGTGCTAGATGCATCATGTATTAGTACTGCAGAAATATATGTTTACTAGTGTACATTGAGCTTTGTTTTGTGTTTCGTTTTCTTTTTCATATTTTTGTAAAACTGCAAAAATTTTAATAAAAAGTTATTTAAATAAAAAAAAAGAGAATGTGCCATTTTGTCCATTGGAATCGAACCCTTATTGTTAATCACTCCCTTGCCACTCCTACCCTCATAGTTCTCTGACTCAATTTAGCTACAAATGTGCTTAGATGGAAAGAAGGAGAAAAAAAGTTGGGGAAAAAAATACTAAATTTTTGTCAATCTTGAGGCTTGATGTTGGCCTGTGTATTTTTGCTGCCTTAAGCACTGGTCCATGAGCTGACGGGAGTCACTTTGGGTGGGGGACCCATGGAACACAGCCCCCTTTGGAGAGGTGGGGAGACCCCTGTCTCAACTTCCCATATCCCTCTTATGTGTAAGTCACCCTGTGCCTGTTAGGGGTACAGGGTGAAATGTCCTGCTATTGAGTAGACATGTATAGGTGGGGGGGTGTGGGGGTTGTTCATTGTTTACTGCCATGTGCTTGTCCCATTGTTCTATTATGTGTCTGGCTTGGGAGCAAACTATTATGGGATGTATGTGTTTGTGTATTAGCTTGGTGGGGGGTGTTTCCAGCAGCCCTCCTGATGGGACTGTCTGTTGATGTGTGTCCCTTGTTGCTAAGTATAGATTGCCCCACCCTGTGTCATTATGCAGGGAGGGGGGATTTGTCCCCTGAGTGTGTAAAAAGCCAGTTCGAGTTTCAAATAAAGAGTTCCATGTTTATACAGACTGGTCTCTTGTAGTCCCATTTGGTCAGCGGTGGTGTCCGTGGATCTGTGTTCGGACAGGGAAGTGGGAGTCTAACGGAAATACCGTAGTGCTGTCGGGGTCTGGTTCCGTTACAATCATTTATAGTTGTTTTAGCTTTGAAGAAAGGAAGTACATCTCCCGAAATGCATTAGCATACCCTGTTGCCAGACTATCGTTTACTCGGACTGTCACATTGGTTCCTAGCTTGTTTTATGAATCTTGGTTTGTGGGTATATACTTTTGTCATTTTTAGATAAATTCCTTTTTATCACGGTAATGCACGAGGAGAGTGCGCCCCTTCTTTGCTTTCTTCCAGTATTATCAAGATTTCCCAATCTTAGAGGGCTGCATCTCAGCGAGTAACTGTTACTGTGGTCCTGGGATGCTCACAGAGTTGAGCGCTTGTGTTGTTTTTTTTTCTCTTGACTGGTCCATGAGTGCCTTTATGGTAAATAAGGCATTGTCACCATTCTAACTTTACAAATGATCCATTTATGGAATATCAGAGGCCATGACAACCTATCAGCTCTAATTGAATGGATATTTTAATAGTCATGAATATAACCAACCCTACAGGATTTAAGGAAGCATGTCACCCAGTTTATTGTGGTGCTTTCTTTGGACTGTAAAGTGCACTCTATGAGTCTCTGCACAGCAAGCAAACCTAACTCATGTTACCTGCTCACCCTTGTAATAATGCTCTTGTGGTACCATGATTAATCTTACCCAGCTAAAAGTTGTCTGTACGGGTATCCATAACATAAATCCATACTGCACTTTTACAGTAGATGCAATTGTGTTGTTCCAAATATCGCTTTGTGCAAAAGAAATACCTCCTTAGAACCATTCTCTAAGAACAATGGCAACTTTCTAATCTGGTAAGATCCAAATCCTAAACATCAAAAAGTCTTAAAGATGAATTCCAGGCCTGGATAATTTCAGCTTGGATCAATGTAACTATGCAAATACCTTACCTGGCTGATGCCCCTGAAAGCTGGAAATCCCTGACGTAGACACCGCTACTCTTCACTTGTTTCTAAGTCTTGTTCCTTAGGGGTTGCCTTGCTGCATTATAAACACAGGATGTTGATCGGTATGGAAGCCATTTAGAGACAAATTTGCATTTTTTTACTGAAGTGTTCTTTAATTGGACAAGGTGGAGAATGTGATTTGGTATCCAATCAGGGAACGCTTTACATTCACTTCGAAATGCAAAATAATCTCTGAATGGTGCTCGTACTGAACAGCTGACCTTCTGTGCTGAGGATGCAACAGGGCAGCCGCTTAGCACGGGAACCTGGAAGCAAGTGGGGATCACTGGACTATCTACTCCAGTATTTTCTGGCTTCCAGGAGCATCATCCAGGTATGGTATATGCATAGTTACATTGGTCCAAGCTGGACCAATGTAACTATGTATGAAATATTCATACCTGAAATTTTGGTTTTTGTTTCGCTAAACCCAAATAATTTCTTATAGATACTACAGCATACGCCCATGCAAGGGCCACGGTTTACTCGAGCGAGGATGCACAGTCAGGGCTGCTGATAATACAGTACAGCCGGCCCTCCTGTATCGGGTCCCATCAGTTCAAAAGGGGGGCCGAGGCACCTGTCCTCTTCATACAATGGAGTAAACTGAATGGGGGGATTTATTCTAGTCACAACTGTGCAATAAGGGAGAGATTTCCTCTCACTTTCTATTGTGTCTACAAGACAGGAAGTGAAGAAAAATATCCCCAATAACACACAAAAATAAGAAAAAAAAAATGGTAACCTATTCTATATTTTAAGCAGCAGTCTGATAAAAACTAAAGGACGTACTCTTGAAAGCACTATGGAATTTGAATACCTTCTTGCTGTTTCTTGTTACATAATTGTCCCCTTTGTCATGATTGAAAATTCTGAAACTATGCAAACATATCCTGAAAATATAATACTCATAAATTGCACCTAAGTACTTTAATCTCCATAAACTTCAGACAGCAAATAAACTCTTGTCATTCTGATTTACAACTCAACTCCATTTTCCCTGCAATAGTTGCTTTCTACTGTCGCTCTACGTTTGTTCTGCCTAGAGTTTTGTATAAGCTCAGCTCCAGGCTTTAAGTCCTACCTGTAATGTTAACTCATTCATTTTATTTTATCTGGTCAGATTGTGAGAAAAAAGAAAAAGACAGAAAAATAGATAGTGATGAACTCTTTATCTGTTCCACTTCAAAGCCAAATATTGTACTTTCAAGCACACCTGCCTTCTACAAACCTTCTGCTAGATAACAGTTTTGTAAACAATGCTGAGTGAAAGTAAAAGGGTATTAAATTACTTGAGCTTCTGAAAAGTGATACGGGAAATATTTGTAGAATTCTGAGATTTTACTCATATACAGTATGTCCCAAGTGATGACACACCAAAAGATTTTGTGAGGTTGAATGAGGGATCCATGTATGATTTTAAGAGAATGAGCAAGAGAAAGATATTTTATGAATCCCACCGCTCATACACATGGCAATTTTAAGTAAAGTTCAACCACTTTCTATCCCCTAGGAATAAAAAATACGATGTTAACGCACAACTCCAGGAAAAAAAATTTTTTTTTTAACTGCTTCCCCGCAGCCCTATAGCACAAATACTGCTACAGGGCGGCAGGGCTGCGCAAAATTATGTATATATATATATGATTTTACATTTCTGGGTAGGGGGCATTCGCACACGCACCACCCTCTCCGGCTGCGGGTGTCAATCACTTGGTCCTGGCCGGAGTTTCCCCACTGGCAGCCAGTGATCGCCGAAGAACACTGACAGGGGAGAGGTCTGTATGTAAACAATACAGATCTCTCCCCTGTCAGCACCATCATGCTGCTTTGTTTTGCTCTGCATAGCAGAGCAATACTAAGTAGAATGCTTACACAGTAAATCACATACAGCACACATAGTAAAACAGCACACATCATGCAGTTAACCCTTTCATTGCCCCAGATGTTATCCCATTCCTGCCCAGTGTCATTAGTACAGTGTCAGTGCTTTTTATTAGCACTGATCACTGTATTAGTGTCACTGGGGATGTCAGTGGTAGTTATATATATGTGATTTTGCATTTCCGGGTAGGGGGCATTCGCGCACGCACCGTACTCCCCGCGCCGCCAAGGCTGTCGATCGCTAGGTCCCAGCCAGAGATTCCCCACCAGCACCTGTCGATCACTGAAGAACACTGACACGGGAAAGGTCTGTATGTAAACAATACAGATCTCTCCCCTGTCAGCTCCAGCATGCTGCTTTATTTGCTCTGCATAGCATGCTTACACAGTAAATCACATACTGAACACATAGTAAAACAGCACACATCACACAGTTAACCCTTTGATCATCCCAGATGTTAACCACTTCTTGCCCAGTGTCATTGGTACAGTGTCAGTGCTTTTTATTAGCATTGATCTCTGTTTTAGTGTCACTGGGTATGTCAGTGTCAGTGTCAGAATGCCCTCTGTAGTCCCGCAGTCCCGCTATAAGTCACTGATCGCCACCATTACTAGTATAAAATAAAAAAAAAAAAAATCCAGCATATATACCGCCATTTGTAGACACTATAATTTTCACTTAAACCATTGGGATTTTTCTTTTAACAAAGACATGTAGCAGAATACATTTTGGCCTAAATTTATGACGAAATTATATTTTTAAAAATTTTTACTGGATAGGTTTAGCAAAAAGTCAAAAATATTGTTTTTTTCTAAATTGTTGGTCTTTTTTTTTTATAGTGCAAAAAATAAAAAACGCACAGGCGATTAAATAAGCTCTATTTGTGGGAAAAAAAGGACATCAATTTAATTTGGGTGCAGCGTTGCATAACCGCGCAATTGTCAGTTAAAGTAATACAGTGCCGTGTCGCAAAAAGTGGCCTAGTCAGGAAGGGATGTAAATCCTCTGGAGGGCAAGTGGTTAAATAGTGCATTGTACATCAGTTGCCTTACTCCTCAGTCTTGATTCCAAACACCTCCTCCTAGTGTAATTGATCAAAGTCACATTTTCCTCTATGAGCCAAGTTAATTTCCCACCCTGGGGACCAGGCATTTTTCCTTGCTTGTTATTTTCTCTTCTATTATTAGTCCCCTCATTGCCTCTTTACGCTCTTGTGCCTCTGAAGCCTATGAGAGAAGACATGGCCACTGGAATTGTTGTCCCTTTCCATATGAGGTGTCCACATCACACTGTGGCTTCAGGTAAGTAAAATAGGTATTTGGATATCTTTTTACATACCAGCGGTTCATTAGAGAGGGTTGGGTAATATCGTGAAGTTGGGCATTAAAGGAGATGTACAGCCAAAGCTTGTTTGGCTGTACTTCTTTTGTGGATCACAGGAGTGCAATTTGTTCGTCACTCCTGTGATCCGGCTAAAGTCTGTTGTCGGCTGACGCCACTCAGCCAGTCCAGGCTGGGGAACGATCCCGCCCATATGGTTGGGATCCACCCAGAGGACTGGACTGCACCTGGTAAACCACTGAAAGCCTGAGCCAGCTGCACCCCCCTCCACAGCCCAGCACTCCAGTGATCTGGGGGCAGGTGGCAGAGCAGACAGTGGTGACTGACAGTCCCCAGCTCTCTGCTCAGTATGGCAGGGAGAAATGAGTGATCACCAGTGTCTGATTGCTCAGTTCTCACCCTTAGAGCTGGTAGGGGACAGACGCAGCATCAGAATTATCGAATCATGATTACAAAAAAAACCCATACTTCTCTTTTAGGTATTATAAGGCAATTTTTTGCAACCCATGGTTGCAGGAAAGAAAATCACTTGATTCCCTCATCAACACAGTCAATATTGATGAGGAACGCCCTACCACAGAGCTCTTGTGTTCTGGCTAGAGGGGAACTGGATCCGTCCCTGCTGGGGTGATTATTGCTAGCGGCTGTAGCCGCTCCCAATAATTGCATGTAAAATGCGATTTTTACATGCGTAAAAGTCATCCACAAACAAATTAAGTACAATCAGTCTGCCGATGGAGTGAATTTGAGATTTGAACCATCTTTTGGCTAATTACAACACTGGTGTGCAGAACAGCATCTCTGAATTCACAATATAACATCTTTGAAGAGGATAGGCTTGGCCATTCTTTCTCAACCAGAGTTCTGTGGAACCCTAGGTTTTCTCAAGACGTTGCTAGGGGTTCCATGAGCTATGAGCAATGGTAGATGTTGATCTTAAACCTACACTGTCCATCAGGGGTGGACTGACCATTTGGAAACTCAGGCACTGCCCAAGGGCCCGGGGTCAGTAGGGGGCCCCATGAGATGCCCCTGGTATCTTTTTCATAGGCTTTTTTTAGTTTATTAATTGTACTTTAATGTCTATCCAAGACACAAAGAAGCTAAAATAAATGTGCAAGCAATTAATGTGTATTTAGGAGTAATGTAACCTTAATCAGTTATTAAACTAGAGTACAAGAAACATTAACGATGTGCAAAGTATATAAAGCCCATAAAAGCAACCATATTTCACCATCAATGAAAACAGAGCAGCTAATGCACACTAATTGCTGATTGCTTACTATAGACTACTGTAATTTACACAGTTATCTCTGACTGATAAGTCTATTGATTATAAAAGGAAAGCTGTGGCGAGAAAAAGATGGAGTTGACTTCTCCTTCTTAAAATGCAAGCTGCTTAGCTATAAAGCTGACTCGAGAAGAGCGAATCTTCCTGGGTTCAGTTCCTGGGAGATTCGGACCCAGCATGAAATCTGCGAACCCCAAAATTACTGTTGTACCCTATTGAAGTCTACCCTATTGAAATCTTTCATGTGGCTTCAAGAGCAACATTGAAAACACAAAAAATCTTTTAAACAACATGCTTGGGGGATGCTTCAACCTGCACATGTTGGTTGGAATGGTACAATTTTCATGAGCAGTTTTAAAAAAAAAAGCAGAGAAAAAAAATTGTGATTGATGCAGATTTACATCCAGAAACATTCATAAGAATTGTTTTTAGAGTGTCTTTGTTTTATAAAAAGTAACCACTTGAACTATGGAAGATTTGTCACTTCCTGTCTGTTCTCCTATGAGCAGGGGCGGACTGACCATTTGGAAACTCGGGCACTGCCCGAGGGCCCGGGGTCAGTAGGGGGCCCCATGAGATGCCCCTGGTACCTTTTTCATAGGCTTTTTTGAGTTTGGGCAAGGACACAGGGGCCTCATGATCCCCTATTGCCCAGGGGCCCCATGAGTTGTCAGTCCGCCCCTGCTAACCATTAATGTTAGGAGGCATTTTTCTACTGGCATCCAATGTGCTGGGTCACTTCTGCATGAAATGTAAGAGGGAGCTTTTCAATGGACCACTACCATAAATGGCCACTTCTCCACTGGCCTTGAGTGTAAATGGACACTACAGTTTTCACAGTCTGTTTCTTTTCTGGCAATTCTTAATATTAACTTATTTTTATGATTATTGTTGAAAAATAATGCCTTCATGTAGTGCAAGGTGATGTCTTTAAATAATAATTTTTTTAATAACAGCACACTCTTTATTATTTTATTTATTTCTGTATCTACTGATCACACTAATATACAGTGTACCAGTAGATAAAGGTTTTTGCAACAGTTGCCCAGAAACTGAAAGTTATTACAAGGTTTCCTTGAGGGTAAAAAGATGGAGAAAGGATGCGCTAGAGCTGGAGCAGCAACAGACCACATTAGGTTTCATTTCTGTGAACTAAAAAAAGAAAACAAGGGCTACAGTGAGCATTGATTGACCAAAAGGTGAAATTTAAGAATTATGACCTATTCTGGTAAATCTTGTCTTTTGCTATGATATACAGAAGATGTGATTGCAATGTACGCCATATGACAAAAGTATGTGGCCAGCCCTCCACATTATTGGGTTCAAGTGTTTCCAAGGCACCTATTGTAAACACGTACATGAAATCAAGTACATTTCCATACAATCTTCATTGTATACAATTACTTTCAACCTTGCAGACATTTTTTTTTAGCACAGTTCCTTTTCTACTTCCAGCATGACCTCTATGCAATCTTGTAGAAAGCCTTCCCAGAAGAAAGGAGGCTGTTATAACCTTGAAGAAGGGAAAATTCCATATTAGTGCCAATGGTTTTGGAATGGAATGCCCAACAAACTCATATTGGTGTGATGGTCAGGTGCTCACAAAC